ACTACGTTAGGACCTAAACCCGATTCAACACCTCGGAGGTTTAGATAGTTTCACTTTTATAAACTCATAATTCAAAATTATATATCACTATGTATATTCCATTTTTGACAGTGCCCCAAGCATGTTGCTGAGTATTTCTTCGAATGCGTTTTTTCAGCGAAATACACAGATTCGGAATAATAAAACATATTCAAATGTTGTGGAAAAATATTTTATACAATGATAAAATAAAATTGTAGACGTTCTTTTTATAATATAAGAAAACTGGACAAAACTGCATTAGAAATCAGGATTAAAAGAAAACAAGAAATCTTTGTTATACTCAGAACTGCTGTTTGATTTTAAACTTTAAATAAACAACATTTCTCATTTAAATAAAAATTTAAAATGTGTAATTATTTTCTCTACCCAATATGGATCTGTGGATTTCAAATTTCAGGAAAAAAAAACAAAAGACCATTGTGTTATTTCTAGAACGTTTCAAATCGGCAGGTAGATAATTCCATAACCTTGGTTTATACCTACACTATTGTGAACAAACAATAAAGCGTTGGATTTTCCCTAAATTGCCAATGTTCTATGTGATTCTGATTATTATCTGTCTCATATTGCATGCTAATTGTATGGTGTTAATGTTATTTTATTGCATGGATAAAATTATAGTCAAATTGTTGAAAATCAGAACAGAACAAATACAAATTGCTTCAAATATATCTTTGGGAGTCGCGCAAATTCCCGTAAAAAAGATTTTTTTGCCTTTTTCATTAAACTTACCTAATAACTTTTGATGCTTAACTAACAGTGTTATGAAACAAACTGTTTTAAAGACACATCACCGCATAGCTCCGTTAAAAAATTTTAACCTTTTTTTACAAAAAGCAGTAGCCCATTTAAACATGCTTTTCAATTTATGAACGCAAGAAAACTTAAAACTCATATTATTTGAGATTTCATGTTTATTAGAGCTTCAGTTTTCAACGTCCCTTGTTTTGGCGCGCACCTTACTGTGGTACGCCTTTTATAAATTCAAATGTCATACTTTCAAACCACAAAAAAACTTTAAACAAACAGATTAAATTAAGATAAGTATAAACTTTATAAACTTATACAGCAATTACCTACATATGTCCTACACGTATTCGCGTTAGAACCGTTTGAATAAACCGTGTACTAGCACTAGTTTTCCATTGTCGTGTATCTGGTTTTAGCGATCTTAATTTAGATTGCGATAGAAACCATTCGCGCTGCCACTGGCCAATCACTTTTTGTTTCAAAAAACGTTTTGAGATCTGCCTCTTCATTGCCGATAATTCCTATACGCGATGGGATCCATATAAATTTAGGAGTTATGCGTTCTCTTGGGCGGTTTGTAGTTCACTTTTTATTAAACTTTGAGGGTATACAAGGCAACTATCGAACACGGTGATTAATTTAATCTTGCCCAAGTACTTTCGATCAATAGATCATCTTCAGGGGCATTTCGTCAGTTGTGGCCTATCCGACATAGTAGATCGAAAGTACTTGGGCAAGATTAAATTAATCACCGTGTTCGATAGTTGCCTTGTATACCCTCAAAGTTTAATTATTCGAACATTCAACCTTATATTCACTTTTTATTAGTTGCTCCAAGGACTGTTTAGGATACAGATGCTGTATTGCAAGAAGAGAGCTGAGCGAGTCAATGAGAAACAGAGGTTTTGAAATTCTTGAGAGGTTTAGATGTTTTAGGGCACGGTACAAAGCAAACAGTTCAGCGGTGAAAACACTTGAGCTAGGCGGTAGTTTAAATTTGAAAGTAGACGTTGGAGTAACAAATGCACAACCAATGTGATCATTAGATTTAGAGGCATCGGTCAAAATGTTTTTGCAGTTAAGCCAATTGCAACTGCAAAAATTTGCAGTTCAACAATCTCGTTTAGTTTGTTTTTGATTACTATGTTATTATGTTATTATTGAATTTTTTGGAGAACTCTATTAGTTGCAATTTGAAATTGTGAAATACATCTGGGATTTTTGTGTCAAAATTATTCAGAATTGATCTTACTCGTGTGTAATAAGGCTTTCCAGTACGAGGTTTATTAAAGAGAAAGTTAAGATTAGTTTTAGAAGAAGTATTTTGAAATAGTGGTTGAAGAAGCGTGTGAAAGTGTAAAATGTATCCCCCTATACTGCAGTTATGGTTCTCCAGTTTCGGAATATAAGCTTTTTATGGGTGAAGTGTGAAAAGCTCCGAGAAGTGCGGCATTGTGGATTGTATAATATAACGGTTTTAGGGTACTCTGGATTTGAACCGTAATTGAGTTTGGATCTAATTAGTGTTTTATACAGAACGAGTAGTGTAGATAAGTCGGAACACCAGAAACGATTTGATACGGTGTTAAGCAAATTGAGTCTTTTGTTGCATGTTAGCGGCAAGTGTTCTATGTGCTTTTTCCTGGAAAGTTTTTGATCCAGCAACATACCAAGGAATTTCACGGAGTTTTGGAAAGGAATGATGCTGTTGTGAATATAAAGGATTGGTGTAATGGATGATTTTTTTCGTAAACACCATACCAGTTGGCTTTGTAACGGATAATTCGAAGCCTGTACTAGTTGTCCATTCATCTAGTTGGGTTAAAAATGTCTGAGAGAGTAGTTTTTGTTGCTTTCACAACTGTTCCCAATGCCACAACTAACAGAAAAATGTAATTTGTTTTAAAAATGTTTAAACAATTTAAATGACAGCAGAAAAATGATTTCCCCTTGATGTATGTCTAGAACAATATGGGACAAAATGAAGCAAGGCTGTTGTAAATTGCATGCTATAACTATAACTTTATAGTGTTTACTAAACTAATCCTTTTTTGTATCTCTTAATGTTTTGATATAGATTATTTATTAAAAAGGCAATTCGGTTATCAACTTAACTGGCCGAGTTATTTTACCGGCGTTGACCCACTAAGATATTATTATGCAGTTTATAACATTCTAGAATATTACCAATACAAAATTTATTATAAGTGATAATGTATAAAGTTAAAAACATATTTGTATATATGGTTTATTATGAGTTTTTAAATCTTTTTTCATTTATGTTATTGGTATGGTTTAATGAGGTACTATTAAATAATATGTTAAATAATAGGAAGTCCTCAAACTGCTGAATCAGGTCGGGAGCTTCTAAATATCGCCAATACAAGTAAAGTTAACTACTTTACGACATGTAATGAGTGAATACATATTATTTGCCTGAATGTCCAGGGAAAAGTAAAAGACAAGAGATGAACTGGCCGTAACAGGCTCTCATGGTTGCGGAATATAAGAAGTTGGATCTGACTGGGTGTAGATGTGTAGAACAACTTTTCTGTTCAGGGAACGATCGAGAAGGGTTTAATCCCATTTTTAGGGGGATATCCAACGTTGGAACTCAGGCACGGTACAGAAAGAAGAATAAGAAGATAAAGTCTAGAACTATTCGATAATACTGTTACTGTATGTGATATTAATGCTGGAGAAAGAAGTGACTGGTTACTAGTATTTTTGAAATCAGTAGCATAGCGAGCTATAAATATTGATCGTTTTTGAATATTGAATTTTTCTTATTTCTGTTCCGATACTTGGTCCATTTGAACTAACGAAAACAATATTTCTCAAAACGTCTGCCCTGTTCAAATTTTTAATTTACCAATAAACTCGTCTTGCGTCAGCAGGTTCATTTTCAACCTCAGTTGATTATTCCATAGGTTTCAGAAGGCTTTTCTGATGTTTGTAAAGTTAGCATATCTATTTTATATTGCTGTAGCCATTTCCGAGAAACAGAGGGTATGCTAACTTTACGGTAAAGTTGGCATAGCCATATATCGGCAAGGAAAAGGGGCACACGGCCCATCTTGAGCCCTTGCCCCTTTTCCTTGCCAATTTCCTAAATTGCTAACTTATTGCAGAAGTTTTATGCCAAAAAACACTTTATTGGTGCAACCGTTTCCCAAAAATAATGATGACTGAACCTAAATATCTTAGCGTCATATTATATTGCTAATTAAATTTTCTTGAATAATGCAACATAGTTGCTAATTATTTCCATCATCCTTCAATCCAAATGTTATCAATGGTGAAATAGTGCTAATGGTTTATAAAAAATAATACATAATTTGACCCTCGCTTTTAGCTTGTTTGGAAAGCTTTTGGTATTATTCTTTGCATAGACCAGATATGCAAAAAAATGGATATGCTAACTTTACAGACACGCTTCTCTGTGGAAATAACTGCAGCATTATTTATTTACTCATAACGAAGTACTTTTGTTCTTATAGGAAATGTAGATTATGTTTTACGTTTTATTCACTATCCGATTTTGTAGTATTTTAATATCCTGCAAAATATCTTGAAAAGTATAGTATTCTCATAATTATAATTTTTGTTTATACATGTTCATTTTTACTATTAAGTAATATTCGAAATCGATGAAAATATGACAACACTTTAATTTTAAAAATGAATAATTTTCTAAAATAAACAACATTACTTAATATATGTCTAAAAATATTTCAAGGCATTGAACATGTTTTAGAAAGTACTAATCACACAAAAGTATAATTTTAATATAGGCTGCAGAAAATTGGTCACATGAAGAATGAAAAGATGTCTGATGACCGTTACAAATTCCAACAAGGGCATTTAAAGTAACCCTAAGAAACGTTAAAAAGAAATAACACAACGCCAGGTGAATTAATAATGAGGCATTAGTAAACAACTTTTTATTGTTTGCTTTTTGTAAATTTGATATAGGACCAAAAAAAAAACAGAAAAGTAACATATTGTACCACAAAATTTTCATTTTTTTGTTAATAAAACTCGTTTTATATAAGTCTACACTAATGGCTTGTGTTTTTATCTACAAGCTTACTCAAATAGCATAGCAAAAGAAAGTATCTCTGTTATTTTTTACTTCAGAATGCCAAAACAACTTTATTTATAAATAAAATAATCAGATACGTAGGCGAGCGTAAAAATTAAAACACTTAGTATAGTAGGTACTTACGAACTGTAACTTCCTTGGGATCAAACTTTTCCACTTTGCCTCCGACATTGGTGATCCTAACTCTGAGAACCTCCGACCTCTTCTTGATACCTTCGAGCTGTCCACCGAGATCCTCGAAGATATCATTGGCCGCCAACACCAGAGAAGCAAGCTGTCTGAGAGCATTGCACAGGGTGTTGTTAGTAACGGCCTCCAGCTCGAAATCTCCGATTTTGGGGTGGCCATTCTCGTCGAAAAGTTGAGTCCTGCTCAAAAATTTCGGCTCAACAATACGCTGCACGAAGGGCATTACACAAACACTAAAACACACTTTCACTCACAATCACTGTCTCATTGTTGTCACATGGCGATGTTTTCGATAAAGTAGACGCGCTTATACACGCACGATTGATATACCACTACCTGCGAAGGCTGACATACGATTAAGTTGAATTGAAGAGCGGTGGCATGGGCAAAGGACCGGTGCGATGCGGCTTCCCGCTGTTAGAATTTTTGAATCAAGAACGTGCGCAGAAATACACTTGTTGGCCTGGCCATCTCTCGATAGATGTCTGAACTTAACTACCTTTAGAATGTGGAATCTTTTATTTAAAAACAAAATTCTGTGTTTATAACATAAACACTATATTTTTATAACTTATTATTACTTTTTGTGAACTAAATATTTATATTTATGTAGATTAGGTGTGTCAAATATAGTGAGTAGAAGCATTGTTTAAAATAAATAAAGTTTCAACACAGTTAAATCACAGTATAGACAACTGTGGTTAAATATATACCTAAGTAAAATTCTTAGAGAGGGCGCTTTGGATGTCAGATACAAATATTTTTTGTAAAAAAAGTTTTTATATCTAGTGTTTTCATATTTCAGATAACTAGGGAGGATGGTAAAATAATACTTATTTTATCTTAATTAAAATTATACAATTGATGATAGTCCAATACAATTATTGATAGCTTGTTTTAGTCATCATAAGGTAAAGCCCTACAATAACCGGAAGATATGGTAAATAAGACAACTTGAAAAATAATGTATAAATAATTAGTCTACTGTGTACTAAATATTATTCCTAAATTTTTGTTACTATTTATTATTAATTATAAGAATTTATGAGAAAATTATAAGAATAAAAATTCTTAAATATATATTCTCCTGTCACTAAGAGTTAGAATGAACTGGACTGTCTATTACAGGCAATTAATTAAAAAGTAATTATTTAAGTATGTTTTTAGTATTGTTTAGTCGAATATGGACTTAACTGTAACTTATGTATAGCAGTTAACAAACAACTTTTCGAAAAGGAAGTGTCTAAAAAAATAAAAAATGTGTAGCAGTTTCAGTGTATTATTTAATTAATTAATTCTTTTAGACCCGTCATCAATATTTTGTGTGTTGTTTGTTAGGTTGTTATTGTTCGAATTGGTATCACTGCAACTACTTGGTTACCAGGAGAATAGATGCTTATAAGAAGTTAACGTACACTATGAGGTAAAAGCTGTTGATCGATTTACAAACCGTTGAAAGAATGTTGCTGATTCTTGTGCTTTCTGTGATCCTGTTATAAAGAACGTCTTCTAGGATAAAGTCGAAGTGCGATGCGGATTCCTGCCATTCTTAACATAACTGAGATGCAACAAGTTGTATTCAGAATTTGAAAACACCTACTTCTTTATCAGTATTAATAATGACATTATTTAAAAGAAAAATAACAGAACAAAAAAAAATATTTAGATTTTAAAAGTAAAGCAGTTATAAACATTTCAAAAATGTTTTTTCAATATATTCTTAGTAATAACTTTTAGAGAAAATGTTTTTTTTTATTTAACATTTTTTAACGTACTACTTGCTGATCTTTGTATAAAGAGTGTAGTGTACTGTAAGATCTCAAAAATAACAATAGAAATTAATAAATAATTTAATGAATCTAGCTACTTTCATCTACATATTGTTTGTTGGATGTTGGATATACGTTTCTAGACATTCGTGTATGCAGGTTAGTTACTAAAATAAGCAAAATTTAAAGCAGACATTTACAATTATATTACACTGCGTTACAATTAAACTAAATTACAACTAATAAAGAAAATCTACATTAAATATCGGTAGCATCAATTAATATTATTAAGCAAAATGTAAAGCAGATATTTACAATAATTATATTACACTGCATTACAATTAAACCAAATTACAATTAATAAAAAAAATCTATATTAAATATCGGTAGAATCAACTAACCCTAGTACCACAACGTGGGGTCGCCCGTGACCCTGCAGTTTCATTTTTAAGCACGCTTGCGTGCAGTTAAGACACTGGGCTGAAAGCTGAAATTCTACGTCTACGTAGCTTCAAGCGTTACCAGACCTAGGGAATTTTCCCTATACCTAGGGAATTTTAGGCCAGCTTAGGGAAAAAGAGATTTTTATTAAGTAAGTAAGCTAAGTAAGTAAGCTAAATTTATTATTTTTTGTTTTGGTTGTTTAAATGATGATTTATTGTAGGAAAATGGCTGATAACAATTTAAAACGTGCATTCCAACTGCAGTATGAATGACGGCGTCTTCTTACTGAAACGATGCTTTGGAAAGAGTTATACAAAGACGAGAATGACGATCTGGTATACGAGGAGTCCCTAGATGAAAACGATAGCGAAGACGAGGATGTCTTAATCAACGATTCTGCATCTGATGAATGCACTATTAGAGAATTACAGGAGGGAACAGACAATAATAAGGAAGCTATGGAAACAGATGCTACAGATGACCGTCTGGATTTTTTGCTCGTAATGGTTTTAAGTGGTACTCGCAACCATTAATTTCGAAGAGAACGAGGACCTGGGCAAAAAATTTAGTTGTACATTTACCTGGCCCAAAACAAAAATGTAAAAACACTAAAATCCCAAAAGAAATATGGCAGCTATTTTTTACCAATGAGATAATTGTCAACAGCACAAATAGAGAAATAGAAATTCAAAAATCAAAATTTACTTCGGAACAACGATACACACAAGAAACACATAAAGCAGAACTTATGGCTTTGTTTGGGCTTTTATACTTTGCAGGACTTCTAAAACAAGGACATCTTTCCCTCGAAGATATCTGGTCAGAAAAATTTGGCTTAGCAATATTTCGCAATACACTGACCATGGACGTATAAATAAGGATTTATTTATACGTCCATGACACTGACAAACAACTGGTTTGAATTTATTTTAAACTGCTTGCGTTTTGATGACAAAACAACTCTAGCAGAAAAAAAACTGTCGATAAATTCGCACCAATGAGAGAAATATGGAATCTATTTATAGAAAACTGCGAAAGCTTGTATACTCCTTATCAATATGTAACTATAGATGAGCAGCTATTAAACTTTAAGGGTCGCTGCCCATTCAAAATGTACTTACCTAGCAAACCGGACAAATATGGTATTAAAATTATTATGATGTGCGACGCCAAAACTAATTATATGTGTTCTGTAATTCCTTATACAGGAAAAGATCCAAACAGAAAGCATGAAGATGGTTCTATTCCAACGCAATATGTTATGAAACTATCGAAAACAATAGCAGGAACAAATCGTAATATAACAATGGACAACTGGTTTTCATCGATCGAGCAAAAACACTTCTTGAAAATAAACTTACCATGTCAGGAACTCTCCGCAAAAATAAAAGAGAAATACCAGTATAATTTCTAGACGTAAAACAGTGAAATCCCCTCATCAGCATTTGCTTTTTCAAAAGATGTAACTTTAGTATCCCATGTTTCAGAAAAGAAAAAATGCGTTCTACTTATAAGTTTTGCAGAATAAACTAAATAAATGCAGAAACAAAAAGCCAGAAATTACAATGTTCTACAATTCGACTAAAGGTGGGGTCGATACATTTGATCAACTCTGTCATTCTAAGGCAGTTGCTCGAAAGACGAGATGCTAGCCTTTAAGGATTCTGTATGGAATGTTAGATGCTGCTGGAATCAATTCTTTTGTGTTACATCAATTTCAAACATTGCCGAATTGTAACGTCCGTTCTACTTTTTTCAAAAACTGATTCTTTGGTGGAAGATTATATGAAGCAAAGAGTAGAAAATAACCGACTGCCAAGAAAGTTAAGATAATCTCTGAGACAATACCTTGGATACCCTGACGAACTACAACCCCAAGAGCCGCAAAAGCGTTCACGTCGTTGTGATTTTTGTCCAAGATCTAGTGACTGTAAAGGATGCCATATTTGTATTCATTGTGGAAAAATATATGTGCAGATCATGAGTTTAGCATTTGTGAAATATGTAAATCTTGATTTAAATATTTTGTATTGGTCAGATTTGTTTATCATGTTATTTTTACTACTAAAAAATTGTTATTTTTATTTTGTTGTTTATTTGTTAATCATACTCTTTTTTCGGTATTTACTGTAGAAACATTAAACTGTCATATAATAAACTATTTAAAAATGAAATAGGACCAAATACATTTTTTTATTTGTCATATTTGTTATCAATTATTATTATTGAATTTTAAAAACTTCATTTCTCCTAAATTGCATGGCGAAATCCCCGTTCACAGAGGTAATTGAAAAAGTTTTGAAAACCGTACAAAAAAATATCCTGTAGGTTTTGACGGTTTCAGTCACCAAAAAGTGTCACCATGCACATGAGGTTTACACATGAAAGTGAGAATTGTGAAGTCAATAATTTTTTATGAGTTAGTCTTGTATGGTCTGTTTTTTGTCGACCAATTAAAATTATGTAGCACTGAAACTGCAATACAAGTCAAAACATAGATGGAATAGGATATATTGTAAAAAAAGATCAAAATGCCTTAGTATTGGATTTAAAGCCTACAGTCAAAGAATGTGCTATTTGCGCTTAAAAGGGAAATTCTTCAATTACCGTTTGATCAATTCACATGCTCCGACTGATGACAAACCAGAAGAAGTTAAAGAACAGTTCTTCGAATACCTAGAGCAAGCTTACAGAAGATGCCCCAAGAATGACACTAAGATTGTGTTAGGTAACATGAATAAAAGCATAGGACGAGGGCGAGTTTTCATGCCCACTATAGGAATAGTGGGCATGAAAATAGCCAGTAGTCATAGCTTACACAACATCAGTAGCGATAATAGATTAAGGGCCGATAGTTCGAACGCTAATCAAAACTTAATTGTAATCAAATATTTAATTAAAATCAAATACGTCACATTTTGAGGATATTTTGACTGATTTATTCTATTCAATTTTATTATTTTGCGTTTTAATTTAAAATAAAGCATAATTAAACTCTTTCTGATGTTAT